TCACATGAGTGCAGGCTGCTGCAAACAGTTGCAAATGCAGGCACCCAAAATATTATGACACAACTGGGGGCGGGTGTGTGTGTGTGTGAATCCATTGGAACTTTGAAACTGGGTCATAAGTACCCCCGGGGAGGTCTGCTGTAACTTTGAACGGTCGCTAAAAAACCAGCCATAAATCGAGGACTAACTATAAAGGAACTGTGCTTAGAGAGCTTAAAGAGCCTTGGTAGTACAGTGGTCTAAGGCACCCTGTTATTAAGCTGGTTATTAAGACCAGCTGCCTGCAATTACTGCAGGTTCGAATCTCGCCAAGGCTCAAGGTTGACTCAGCCTTCCATCCTTTCTAAGGTAGGTAAATTGAGGACCCAGTTTGTGGGGGCAATAAGCTGACTTTGTATAAATATACAAAAGGATGAAGGCTATTGCTTAGCGCATTGTAAGCCGCCCTGAGTCTCCGGAGAAGGGCGGCATATAAATCAAATTAAAAAAAATAATAATACATGGCATTTTAATTTTGACAGAAAATGAACATTTCACACTAAGGCTATGTGGCAATAACTTTGGGTTGCCGCAGGGCTGAGACTCTGGTCTACTTATCCTAGTCCCAGTTTGTTAACATGTTATAGTGGCTTGGTACTTACTGCTGCTATCATCTAACTTTCTGCACTTTTCTCCAAAAGAAAGAGTCTCTGCATGTCCATTGATAATATCAAAAAACTACTAAAACAAGGGTGTCCAACCTTGGCAAGTTTAAGACTAGTGGACTTCAGCTTCCGGAAAAGAGTTAATCCCCCATGGCTGGCTAGGGAATTCTGGGAATTGAAGTCCACAAGTCTTAAAGTTGCCAAGGTTGGAGACCCCTGCACTAAGAGATCAAACAGGACTAGGAGAATCAGATTGTGCCAATGGTGCTTTTTCAAGAGGCAATTGGACTTCCTGTTTTTTCTTTGAAGCCATTTTGCTTATCATCAGCCATCATAGCAGGGCTGATGAAGCTTTTTGGATGAGAAGCAAAACATCTTCAAAGAAAAACAAGAAAGTCCTGTTGCCTCTTGAAAAAACACCTTTGGGACAACCATGACCTGCATGACTGAGAATCTCCATAGATGAGAGTCACATTGCCACCTCAATATGATTGATGCTCTCTGTGTGCTAAATCAGGCCTGAAATCTGACTTAAATGGTCCAGATCATTCATTTATTCCTAGGCTGTTGCAGTTGTAGCCCGACCGCTTTCCAGAATGTATGACAGCCAGGAGAATTTCTGCCATAAAATGTCCAGACAGTTTGGCTTGATAGAACGTGCTCAACTCCAAAGAAAAGGAGTTTTAGAAGAGTTAACTTGATTTTTGACCCTCTGTTGATGCAGTCTTAAATATCATGAGAAGTTAGTATTGCTTTATACCACACTAGTGAGACCACACAGAACATACAATTCTGATCACCATGATGCAAAAAAAAAAAAAGACACTTTTTTTTTGAAACTCTAGAAAGTTTGAAGAGAAGAGCAACTAAGATGATAAAGGATCTGGAAGCTAAAACATTATTATTATTATTATTATTATTATTATTATTATTATTATTATTATTTATTCGATTTATATACCGCCCTTCTCCTATTGGACTCAGGGCGGTGCACAGCCAAGGATAAAAAACATACCAATACAAAATTTAAAACCAATTAAAAGAATTATACAGCTTTGGCCCACAATTTAAAACAATCCAGTTAAAACCCAATTTACACTTAAAAAGCTAAAAAGCTAAAAAGAGCTAAAAGGGGGGGGGGTTCACGCCAGCCCTGCTTGATGGAAAATAAAAGTTTTTAGGGCACGGCGAAAGGCCCAGAGATCTGGTATCCTACGTATCTCCGGGGGCAGGTCGTTCCAGAGGGTAGGTGCTGCCACAGAGAAGGCCCTCCCCCTGGGGGTCGCCAGCCGACATTGCCTGGCTGACGGCACCCTGAGGAGTCCCTCTCTGTGGGAGCGTACTGGTCGGTGGGAGGCTATCGGCGGCAGAAGGCGGTCTTGCAAATACCCAGGTCCCATTCCATGGAGCGCTTTAAAGGTGGTGACCAACACCTTGAAGCGCACCCAGAAGACCACTGGAAGCCAATGCAGTTCGCGCAGGAGAGGCATCACATGGGAGCGCCCTCTTGCTCCCATAATCCCCCGCGCGGCCGCATTCTGCACCAGTTGGAGCCTCCGGGTGCTCCCCAAGGGGAGCCCCATGTAGAGAGCATTGCAGTAGTCAATATGAAGAACGGTTGCAGGAACTGGACATGTCTAGTCTATTGAAGAGAAGGTTTAGAGGGGATGTGATAACTGCCTTCTAGTACTTGAGGGTCTGTCACAAAGAAGAGTTATTGACTTATTCTCCAAAGCTCCAGAGAGCAGGACAAGAAATAATGAGTGGAAGCTTGTTAAAAAGACATCCAATCTAGAAATGAGAAGGAATTTTCTGACAGCAAGAACAATTAATCAATGGAATAGCTGCCTTCTGGGATTTTGGGGTATTCCATCACTGAAGGTTTTCAAAAAGAGCCTGGACAACTATTTGATCTGGATGTAATACGGTCTCCTTACATATACATGGACATTTTTTGATAGTGACTATATCTAATTCTTTTACATTTGAGCCAAAATGCCTGAAGATGCTGAAAGTCAAATTCTAATCTCTCCTTGACAGAAGAATTGCAGATCCAGAGATACTTTAAAAACGATCGGTTATCATTGAGATTTGCTCCTCCTGATAAACCTCAGCCCTGAAAATGTTTTCTAATGAGCACATATCCCGACAAGATGTATAAAATTTTAAACTCGTTCATATTGTACTTATTACCACGGCAAAGCGAAGGTCTTACCTATAGCGATGAGAATCTTTTGATTTTCTCTTTGTGGCTGGAATTTTCCTTGGCAGACCACTCTTACTCTGCAAGAAAATCTAATTTTTTTATCTCTGAGTCTCGTGTAGCGTTTGGCTTTTTCGGGAAGCAAATCTTGGCATTTGTTAGAAGTGGAGCAGTCTGTCTCTTCCACACTGTCAAAGTTCCCAGGAGCCTTTATGGAGCTGGCTGCATATGTTCAGAATTGAATTAGAGTCTCCAACTCATCAACTTGGCTTCGAAATTATTAGCTTTTGGGATGATAATGTACTTGAGGTTCTGCGTATTTATTTTCTGGTTTCTGAAACGTTCATTTCCCATTGAGCAGATATTCAAACATCGATAGAAATAATAGTTTAGAGGCTTGAAATCCGTTCCCATTTAGCTTTTTTGTTTTCCCCCACATGGGATGAAATGGTCCCAAATATCATTTACGCATAACATTTGCGGAAGAAAGCAATTTCAGTCTAGCAGAGATAGTGTCAGTCTTTTTAAAACCTGCCATTTCTGAAGCCAGTTTTAATTTTGAATCCCATGACCTGTTAAACTCAAGAAGATTGGTCTGCCAGGATATGTCTGTCCTTTGCAAGACCTGCTTCATAATATGTCTCTACAGTATTGGTAAACAAATTGTCGCTCACAAGATGATACTGAACTCCCAAAATTTCCAGCCATGCTTGACATATAAATAGAAGTCCTTCCTTCCTTCCTTCCTTCCTTCCTTCCTTCCTTCCTTCCTTCCTTCCTTCCTTCCTTCCTTCCTTCCTTCCTTCTCCTGGTGGCGTAGTGGTTAGAATGCAGTATTGCAGGCAAACTCTGCCCACTGCTAGGAGTTCAATCCTGACTGGCTCAAGGTTGATTCAGCCTTCCGTCTTTCCGAGGTTGGGTAAAATAAAGACTCAGATTGTGTAGGATTATAATAGCAATATGCTGAGTCTGTAAACCGCTTAGAGAGGGCTGTAAAGCACTGTGAAGTGGTATATAAGTCTAATTGCTATTGCCCTTCCTTCCTCCCTCCCCCCTCTATTGCTCTAAACCAGGGGTGTCTAACCACGGCAACTTCAAGACCTGTGGACCAACCTGTGGAGTTGAAGCCCACAGATCTCCAAGTTGCCAAGATTGCTCTAAACCAGGGGTGTCAAACTTGTTTTCATTGAGGGCCGCATCAGGGTTGTGTTTGACCTTGGGTGGGCGTGGCCAGCTCAATGTCACTCATATCAGGGGCACCTGTGGCGGCCCGAGCACTCTGCCAGAGAAAACAGGATCCTGAGCTCTTTTTTCGGCTGTGACGGCCTCCTGCAATCCTCTGCCAGTGAAAACAGAGCTCGGGAGGGCCACACACAGCCCTCCCGAGCTCCGTTTTTGCTGGCAGAGGCACTGAGGGCCGGTCCTTCGCTGTTTCTAGGGCAGCCCCGCAGGCCAGATCTAAGCACCCCGCGGGCTGGATCCGGCCCCTGGGCTTGAGTTTTAACACCCCTGCTCCAGGAGTGGGTTCTAAATTTTTTTACTACCGGTTCTTTGGGCGTGGCTTATTTTGTGGGTGTGGCTTGGAGGTCATGTGACTAGATGGGTGTGGCTAGCTGGTCAGAGTCATTTCTGGAAGGTCCTCGCACTTACGACCCGACTCATTTGTTTGCTTTTAACACTGATCAGCTGTAGGACGGCCCTTTGAAGCCCCGCAGCAAGAGTTTAAACAGTTTTTTTCCCTCTAGTCATCAGCTGGGACTCAGGAGGCAGCAATAGATTGGGGGTGGGACCAAATAAAAGGTAAGAATAACGTGGGTGGGTGGGAGGGGGGGAGAACCGGTTCGGTGACGTCATATCGTCACCGCTACCAGCTCGGCCGAACCGGGAGGAACCGACCACTGCCCTGCTCTAAACCAAAGCTCTGAATTATTTTGAAATCACCCGTGTGCTTACAAGTCTTTTTTTTTTTTTTTTAATTCTTTCCATGTGGCTCATTGTGATAATGATAACTGTTCTGCCTTTTCATCCGCCAACTAAAATCCACCTTTGAGCCTCATCTTGTTGGGAGCCCGATATTATTCACTGTGTAATGAGTTTAGCAATCAGTTCACTGAACCGATGCCATCTTCTTCTCCCTTTTCTTTCCTCTAAAGGACAAAAAGAATTATTCCTGCCCTGTGTGTGAGAAATCATTTTCTGAAGACCGACTTATAAAAGCTCATATAAAGACAAACCATCCAGGTAAGATAAGCCACACTGATGAGTTTGAATGCACTGCAATCGTGGAGGAAAGGCGCCAGCTGAATAACATTCGGCGGTTACATTATTATGCCTTCTTGCTATTAGGCTTTCATTGTTACTGTTAGTATTGTCATTATCATCATGAGGAAGATAATTAAAAAAAAAAAAAGAAATCATTTGGGTGATTAAATTATTTAGTGTCCCAGCACCTATACTACGAATAGTAAATTCGCCAAGCTGAAATGAAGGAGGCAAATCTTCCTTCTAGAATCGTGATGGCGAACCTATGGCACGCGTGCCACAGGTGGCACGCGGAGCCATATCGGTGGGCACCCGAGCTCAGCTCCACTTGACTTTCGGGCCTTCTGAGCCCACCAGAAGTAGGGAAACAGGTTGTTTCCTGCCTCCAGAGAGCCTGGAGGGGGGAGGCCGTTTTCACCCTCCCCAGGCTCCTAGAGAGTCTGAGGAGAGCAAAAAAAACGGGCCTTCCGGTCCCACTGGAAGTTGGTAAACGGGCAGTTTCCGGCCTCCGGGGGGGGTGAGGAAGGCTGTTTTTGCCCTCCCCAGGCTCCTAGAGAGACTCTAGGGAGAGCAAAAAACGGAAGTGCGGGCGGAGCGGGGGAGGAGTGTGCACATGTGCGGGGGCGGAGTGCATATAATTATGGGTGTTGGCATGCACACGCGCGACCTCCCACACATCCTCCCCCACACTCCCCCCGCTTTTGGCACACGATGGCAAAAAGGTTAGCCATCACTGTTCTAGAAGATGTAGAGCATACGAGTAGTTAACAAGGGCTCCTAAAGTGCTTGTATAACCTTCTATAACCTTCCCGTCCCCTATCTGCCAGGCTGCTCAAAGGACTTCTGGTTTCCAGCTAAACAATCAGATAGATTTTGGAGGCGTTAGCAGAGGGGGAAGGAAAATTGTGACTTGTTGTCAGCTTCTGTCTGAGAGTGGGTGTGTGAGCACACATCGTCTCCTTGCTCACTTTCCAAGCTGTTCCAGAGAATTTTCTTCTGGACGGGACTGTCTTCTCCCCTCTCTCATGTAGCAAATGACCTGAGGAACGGGTCTGCAAAGTGAGAACAGAGAGTCTTTGAACTGGTCAGTGTTTGAATCAGTCAAAAGTCACTGGGGTCAACTCCTCGGTCTGCTTGAAATAGTGACTTAGAGTTTAGGAAGGAAGTCACGCCAGAATTACCGTATTTTTCAGAGTATAAGACGCACTTTTTTCCCCCTAAAAGAGGGTGGAAATGTTGGTGCGTCTTATACACCAATACAGCCATTTTTGGCTTCCCAAAACACGCCCCCCCCACGTGTCCCATTTTCTTCAAAAACGAGGCCTGCAAAGGGTTTGGGAGGCCTACAGAGTGTTCCTGGGGGCTAGGGAGGGCAAAAACGTGACACATGGGGGGTTTGGGAGGCCAAAAATGGGCCCGTGTTTTGCAAAAACAGGGGCATTTATGCCCTCCCTAGCCTCCAGGAGCACTCTGCAGGCCTCCCAAACCCTTTGCAGGCCTCGTTTTTGCAAAAAACGGGACACGCAGAAGGTTTGGGAGACCTGCAGAGTGCTCCTGGGGGCTGGGGAGGGCAAAAACTTTTTTTTTCTGGTCTATCTCTTCGAAATCTTGGTGTGTCTTATACTCCGGTGCATCTTATAGTCCGAAAAATATGGTATTTTTGTTTCAAGTAGCTATAACCAGGTCCGTATGGCATACAAAGACATACAGTAGTCCTCAACTATTCGTTTACTGACCCTAAGAAGTTGCAATGACGCTGGAAAAAGTGACTTAAAATTCCTTGTGGGAATTTGGGTGCCTTGTATGATCTCCCTGAGATTGAACAGGTAGTCCTCGACTTACAACCATTCATTTAGCGACTATTCAAAGGGACAATGGTACTAAAAAGTGTTTGATGACCGTTTTTCACACTTACGATGACTACATGAGATCAAAATTCAGAGGCTTTGACTACTGGTTCATATTTATGATGGTTGCACTGTCCTGGGATCATGCGATCCCCTTTTGTGATCTTGTGACAAGCAAAGTCAGTCTGGGGTGGGGGGGGAGCCAGATTCACTTAACATCCGTGTTAATAACAACTGTGGTGATTCGGTTAGCTGCTTTGACAAGAAAGGTCATTAAATGGGACAAAGCAATGTCCCACTTCGCTTTGATGAGAGCTCAATGAGAGCTCACTTAACAGCTCTCTTATTAGCAACAGAAATTTTGGGCTCAGTTGTGCTCGTAGTCAAGGACTATTTGTAAAGGTAATTCTTGACTTATGACGGGTGGCTTAGCAACAGACCCAGGGGTGAAATGCTCCCGGTTCGGACAGGATTGCCCGATCCCGTAGTGATGGCGGCGGGTGGTTCAGAGAACCGGTAGCAAAAATCCCTCCCGCCCCCCCCCCCCCCCCACATGCCCAGCTGAGCCACGCAATCATCAGAGGCTCTTTTTTTTGGTTTTTTAAAAGCATTTTTTCTACAACCCCTTCGGCCGAAAAAATGCTTTTAAAAGTAAAAAAAAAAAGCCTCTGATGATCGCGTGGCTCAGCTGGGATCGTCAAAGGCTTTTAAAAACTTTTTTTCTACATATTTGTCCACCCCTGTCTTAGGCGCCTCTGACGATCCCAGCTGAGTTGCCTGATCAGCAGAGGCTTTTAAAAGAACTCTGAAGCCAGCCAGAGGTGGTATTTGCCGCTTCTCCAGCCTACTCAAAATTTCCGCTACCGGTTCTCCAGAACCTGCTGGATTTCACCCCTGATGTACGCCCGTGCTCTTTGTTTAACAACTGCCACAAACACAGTTCATAAAATTGGGTCAGTTGCATGGTTGGCCCGACTTACGACGGTCACGATTTACAACCATAAGGGCCAAGCTCCATTTAGTCGTAACTCGAGGACTACCTGTATATGCATCCTTGTAAAGATTGGTAAACGTCCTTATGTGTGGCTATTCTCCCCACTGAGTCTGAATAATGCATCCTTCTTTTTGGCGATTATATCATCCCATTTTGGGTTTTTAGGCCTTTTGCAGTTGTTAACAAGCTGTTTATTTGGAATTCCCATCCCTTGGAAATCCTGGGTGAAGCCTTGAACAAATGTTAGCAGCTCTCGGGGACTATTAAAGCTCATAAATATTTGGTTAGTGAAGCTGCCCTGCTTAGGTGTTTACTGTTTGAGAAGGCTTCCTGCGAGAAAACACAGACAGAAACAATTTCTGCACCAACAGCCCAACCAGGCTCTAATTTGTCACTCAAAGAGTAGAGAAAACAGCATAATACACCATTGGATTGACCAATGCTGTAAAAACCATCAATTTATGAGGCTCTTTCTTTTGGTTCAGATCTTACCTGGGGAAAAAGAAAACCACACGAAAGGTAAGACTCCTTAATAGTTCAACTTACTGCACTGGTTTTGTTTTAGTGGGGTGGGTGTGGGTTGTGGGTTGGGTGGGATGTGCAGGGGGGGGGGGGGAAAATTTTCGGGGATTCCCCATCCCCAGGAACTCCTGGGGAAGAAATTGCAAAATCTCCCCTCCCCCCCCCTCAAGCCAGGCAGGGTGGTATTTGCCCGGTTCTCCGAAGTACCCAAAATTCCCTACCCTCTCCAGACCGTCAGAACTCCTGGATTTCCTCCCCTGAAGCCCTCCCTCCTCCCAACCTTCAACCAACAAGGAATCAGTTCAACCTTCGGCAGGTCAGTTGTTGGCCTTTGGAACGAATCCTCACGTCAGAAACAAAGAAAGAAGGAACCAACCTCCCCTTCCTTCCGGAGGATCCCTCCCCTAAAGAAATGAAGGTACGTCCTCCCTTCGGCTTTCTCCCTCCTGAGTCTGAAAGGAACTCCCTCCTCCTTTTCTGGCGATTATATCATCCCCCCCTGGGTTTAGGCCTTTTGAAAGTCTTCCTCCAGGCCTCCCTTCCTTCCTTCACCCCTTCCGAAATCCTCCTGAACTTCAAGCAAGAACCTTTAGCAGCCTCTCGGGACTATCTTCCTCCTCATCAATTCCTTCCTCCCTCCCTCCCTTCCTTCCGCTCCTCCTTCCTCCCTCCCTCCTTCAGAAAAGGACTCCCCTCAGAAACACTCAAACCCTCACCTTCCCTCCCAACCTCCCTCCCTCCAGGAAGTCCTTCAAACCCTCCACCTTCCAGAATACCTTCCTCCCTCAATCCCTTCCCTCCTTCCCTCCCTCCAAGCAACCTCCCTCCCTTCCCTTCCTTCCTTCAGAAATCCTCCCTCCCTCCTTCCTCCCTCCCTCCCTCCCTCCCTTCCTTCCTTCCTCCCTCCCTCCCTCCCTTCCTTCCTTCCTCCCATCCTTCCTCCCTCCTCCCTTCCTTCCTTCTCCTCCCTCCCTCCCTTCCTTCCTTCCTTCCTCCTATCCTTCCTCCCTCCCTCCCTTCCTCCCTCCTCCCTCCCTCCTCCCTTCCTTCCTTCCTCCTATCTTCCCTCCTCCCTTCCTCCTTTCCTCCCTCCCTCCCTCCCTCCCTCCCTCCCTCCCTTCCTTCCTTCCTTCCTCCTATCCTTCCTCCTCCCTCCCTCCCTCCCTCCCTCCCTCCCTTCCTTCCTCCCATCCTTCCTTCCTTCCTCCCTCCCTCCTTCCTTCCTTCCTTCCTCCCTCCCTCCCTCCCTCCTTCCTTCCTCTCATCCTTCCTTCCTCCCTCCCTCCCTCCCTCCCTCCCTTCCTTCCTTCCTCCCTCCCTCCCTTCCTTCCTTCCTTCCTTCCTCCCTCCCTCCCTTCCTCCTCTCCTCCCTTCCTTCCTTCCTTCCTTCCTCCCATCCTTCCTTCTCCCTCCTCCTCCCTCCCTCCCTTCCTTCCTCCCTCCCTCCCTTCCTTCCTTCCACCCTTCCTCCCATCCTCCTCCCTCCCTTCCTTCCTTCCTTCCCCAACCCCATCTCCCCTCTCAATCTCAGAGGTGTCTATGCACACAATTTCCAAGATCGTTGGCAGGAGAGTTCAGCTCAAAGGACTAATCGGAAAACGAGCTGTGAAATGTCCTTATTGCAATTTTTATTTCATGAAGAACGGATCGGATCTCCAGCGTCACATTTGGGCTCATGAAGGTAAATGGGGTGTAGCAAGGAGCTGTCTGTCAGTAATTGCAGTAATTTGCCAGTGAGGAAAAAAAAAAAATCAGGAAGGCAAAAACCTGGGAAGCAAACATGACATATTCTGATACAAATGCGTAGAATGAGCTCTTCCTATTTCAGCCCTTTTATTAAAAGTCCTCCTTCAGCATCAATACTTAAATGCTAAATAAAATCATATCAAATCCTGCCTCAGCCATAAAAGCCAGCTGAGTGACATCGGGCCAATCACCAAGAGACGGTGAGTTCTAATCCCGCCTTAGGAAAGAAAGCTAGTTGGGTGACTTTGGGCCAATCACCAGGAAACGGTGAGTTCTAATCCCGCCTTAGTAAAGAAAGCTAGTTGGGTGACTTTGGGCCAATCACCAAGAGATGTTAAATTCTAATCCCGCCTTAGGAAAGAAAGCTAGTTGGGTGACTTTGGGCCAATCACCAGGAGAAGGTGAGTTCTAATCCCGCCTTAGGAAAGAAAGCTAGTTGGGTGACTTTGGGCCAATCACCAGGAGAAGGTGAGTTCTAATCCCGCCTTAGGAAAGAAAGCTAGTTGGGTGACTTTGGGCCAATCACCAGGAGACGGTGAGTTTTAAACCCACCTTAGGAAAGAAAGCTGACTGGGTGACTTTGAGCCAATCACCAGGAGATGGTGAGTTCTAGTCTTGTGTCAGACATGAAAGCCAACTGGGTGACTTTGGGCCAATCACTCACTCTCAGCCCAACCCACTTCACAAAGTTGTTGTTGTGTGGAAAATAGGAGGAGGAAGATGTGTTGGATATATTCACTGCCTCGAGTTATTTATAGAAACAATAAAGGCAGGATATCAGTGTCATAAAGTCAATTGGAGCAGGGAGAATTCAAAGCACAGTTTAGGATTTACCCCAAATCAGGGTTCATTGGATAACTATTTCAGTAACTGAATTTGTTTTACTTTTTCATTCATATTGTATCGTACAGTAAATACAAACATATTTAACTATAACAACACTTCTACATTATTTAAGAGGCTGGGAGGGGGTGCAGTAGCACAGGGTTAATCTTTAATTCCCATCATTGCTGTTTTGTAGTGCATTCTTCATTTATGGCAATTATAATACAACTTCTTCCCTAGCCCCATTTTATTGCTTCAGTATGTCATATCATCAGTTTCCAGAACTCCTTCCTGTATCCTATTTTGGATTAACACTGTATAAATCAGTTGTTTGTACCTCATCTCATTCAGGCTATACATTTTGCGATTTTTCTGCCTCAGCAGCTGAAGTCCACAGTTATTCAGGAATCAATATGCCGAATCTCTTTTTTTGCTGAATTAATGAATCGGGATTAGTCCAGCAAGTAATTCTTTCTTGATATGTACCTACTCACAAAATGTTAAATTAACATTTTACCATTTGCGAATGGATTTTTAATATTCACACATTTTCAAAGCTGCTGGCCACGCACAAAAAAAGGAAAAAGAATTCAGTATACATAGCTATTACTTCTCCTCCCTCCTTCCCTCAAGGTGCATGGCACTGTACAAACCGCAAGACAATGCACTCTTATTCAAGGAACTTGAAATCTATAATTACAGCTCAGAGAAGAAGGGATGGGTAGGAGAGAATGGTAAACCAGAAAAGAATGGCTTGGATTCACATAACATTTAAGTCCAAAACTTAGATAAACAAAATACAGTATCTGTTTATTTATCCAATTTATGTGGCTGCCCACTTGAACAAGGAACAAGGACTCTGAGCAAGGAACAGAATTAAAATAAAATAAAGGTATCCACGTCCAGTGTTTATATGAGTTACAGTATGTCCAGAAAAATAAGCCATGATTGTTACTTTATCCTCTAGATCAGGAATGTTCAGCCTGCAGCTCATGGGCCACAGCCCTGGACAGCATCCCCTCAAGATCATAAACTCTTAACATTACGTTATTTATATACATTAACTATATTATATATTTTATATGTGACCCAGGCAAGCCAAAAGGTTTGACTCAGGGCGGCTTACAATGCATTAAGCAATAGCCTTCATACTTTTGTATATTTATACAAAGTCAGCTTATTGCCCCCACAATCTGGGTCCTCATTTCACCTACTTTTGAAAGGATGTAAGGCTGAGTCAACCTTGAGCCTGGTGAGATTTGAACTTGCAGTAATTGCAGGCAGCAGATGTAAGTGGATGTTAATTAGTCTTCTGAGCCACCAGAGCTCCTTTCCCGGGCAACCTCCTTGCCCAAAGCGCATGTGTGAGTGCCCAAAGGCCCAAACCCCCCAACATGCAATGCACGTGCAGCCCTGTGCATGCCCCCCTCATGCATGCATCCCCACCCACATGCATGGCAGAGACCCGAAGACCAGCTGGTTGGCGGGAGTTTCACGCACATGCGTGGCGGAGCTGAACTGGGGCAACAGCTTGTGTGCCCACAGAGAGTTTGCTGTGTGCCATCACAGCTCTAGATGTTAGGATGCACATAAACAGCCTACTCAAGGATACTGATGGAAGAGAAGATTTGTAGCTCAGGGTTAAACTGTGGGGTCCTTGGTGCTCTGAGCTTGGTGGCTTTCTTGCAGATGTTTGATTACCAAGCTAGGTAACATCATCAGTGCTAGTAGGGAGTGGGGTTTGCTTTCATTTTATATTCCAGGGGCTTTCCCTCTCAGTGGTGGTGGGAGGGGTCTTGGTGGGTCTTTGTTTTGGCTGTTTACTGTTAGTTTGTTAGCACTTCCTTTGCTGCAGCAACAATTCTCTAGGACCGTGATGGTGAACCTATGGCACGCGTGCCACAGGTGGCATGCGTAGCCATATCACTGGGCATGCCAGCTCAGCTCTGGCGCACATTCACGCACTGGCCAGCTGATTTTTGGGGGCTGGGAAGTAGGGAAACAGGCTGTTTTCTGCCTCTGGAGGGCCTGGGCGGGTGGGGAAGGCCCATTTTTCCTTCTCACCTGGCTCCAGATCCTCTCTATGCATCTGGGGAGGGCGAAAACAGCCTTCCCCACCCGCTCGGAGGCCCTCCGGAGGCCCGAAACGGTCCGTTTCCCAACTTCCAGTTGGACAGGAAGTGACTTTTTTGCTGTCCCCAGCCTCCAGAAACTCCTAGAGAGGAGGGACAGCAAAAAATGTCACTTCCTGTCCAACCGGAAATTGGGAAATGGGCCTCCGGAGGGCCTCCGAGGGGGTGGGGAAGGCTGTTTTCACCCTCTCCAGATGCATAGAAAGGGTCTGGAGCCAGGTGAGAAAGAAAAACAGGCCAACTGGGCCATCACGTGCCAGAAGCGTGGGGAAGCGGGGGTCGCATGCGCATGCACAGGGTGGGGCGCATAAAATTATGGGTGTGGGCACGCACACGTGCAAACCTCCTCTGCCACCCCCTCTCCTGGCATGCAATGGCAAAAAGGTTAGCCATCACTGATCTAGGATGTTGTGAAAACCCAGCCATTAAGCCATGAGGTTCCGTGGTACAATTTTGCTAAGGAGATGAAGTCCTAAACTAGCCCTCCCTAATTGGACATCCCCAGTGGTGAAATCTGAACCGGTTTGCCACCGTGCATGTGCTGTGCAAGCACATCTGCAGTGCATGCCAAACGCGTGCTGCCTGCATGTGCGCTGCGTGCCAAATGCACACTGCGCACGCATGCACAATTCACACAAAAGGCACGCTGCACGCACGCACATGCACAGTGCACACCAAACACACAGAAAAAGGAGGCTTGGGAAGGTAAGTAGAACAGTGGGGGGGGCAGCTGTGCCACGCGATTTAGATTCACTACAAAGCAGGATTTCCTGCTTTCTAGCGATTTTAAATCACGCGGTGTCAGGTTACAATGTCGTCTCAAATAAATTGCATTTCCAAACAAATAGTCTTTGATGAAATCTTTCATTTATTGAGCACAACAATCTGTCCCCGACTCCATCGTAGTCAGCACTGACCTTCTGACCCCAAACCCTCCCTTTCCGTTCCCCAGTTCTCTGCGTCTCATTGGCCATCTTCCAAGTCACTCTCCCCATATCTACTACTTCAGCTCACAGGAATGTCCCCCCTCCCATCCCATCTCCTAGGGGATAATATCTTCAGGGAAAATAAGTAGGTGAAGAGTCAAGCGTCCTCTTCCTTATGTCAGCACTGGAGTGAATGTAGTTTGGAGTGCTGACACGTGGCACAGCCGATCATCGGAAATACCAGTTCAAGGAACCGGTAGTTTTTCTCACTATCAGTTTGCCCAAACTGGTGCGAACAAGCAGGATTTCACCGCTGGTCATCCCCCTCCCAAATACCTTGTAAATGCAAACCCCCAAATTCTCAACCAGCTTGGGGGAACGTCCCCTGAAAACATTCTTTCATCCTGATCGAGTTGGACAAGACCGGCTGCATAAAACGTTTTCTCTCCCTGCAGGCATCAAACCGTTCAAATGTTCTCTGTGCGAATATGCCACTCGCAGCAAAAGCAACCTCAAAGCTCACATGAATCGCCACAGCACCGAGAAGACGCACCTGTGCGACAGGTGCGGGAAGAAGTTCAAATCGAAAGGCACTTTGAAGAGCCATAAACTCCTTCACACGGCTGATGGTGAGTAGAGCTCTGGGTCAGGTTTGGAAACATTGTTCCAGATGGCAAACGAAGGTGTAATTGAAGGATGCGCGTAGAAAGAGACCGTCCAGGTCTTGTTTAGTCTTATTTAGCAGATGGGCCGACGTTTAGGGCCATCCACAGAAGAATACTTCAAGGGGCAAATGTTCTCAGTAGGACATTCCTGTTATTCTTCTTTTTTGTATGAAAGGTCCCCGTGCTACACTGGTAGTTTCACAGAAAGCTTGTGTGACAATATGCGTGCACTACTTTTAGAATCTGACTGCAACAGGCAGTCCAGAGGGTTTCTTTTTTAAATTCAATTTATAGCAATAGCACAGAATAGAGTAGAGTAAAGTAGAATAGAAGAATAGAATAGAGTAGAGTAGAGTAGAGTAGAGTAGAGTAGAGTAGAGTAGAGTAGAGTAGAATAGAATAGGAGTAGAGTAGAGTAGAGTAGAGTAGAGTAGAGAATAGAATAGAATAGAATAGAATAGAATAGAATAGAATAGAATAGAATAGAATAGAATAGAATAGAATAGAATAGAATAGAATAGAATTCTTTATTGGCCAAGTGTGATTGGACGCACAAGGGGGGAAAATTGTTGTAATGATTGTTAAAACTTTTTAAATAAAAAAAAAGTCATAAAATTGGGTGCAGTCACATGATGATTCATTTAATGGCTGTCACAACTTAACGACCGTAATTCCAGGCTCAATTAACAATAGTAAGTCAAGGACTACCTATACTGGTGTCTACCATCACTGCTCGTTATTCTGAGCTAGAAGAGCGTCCCAACATAAAACCTCACTGCCTGAGTTCATTACGGCTCACGGCAAGAGTGATATTCATCAAACTCTGACTTTTTCTTTCTTCAGAAGGATAGAGAATATTTAACCCTCAGATTTTTATTTATTTATTTATTTTTGGTATTGTATAATAGGAAAACTGTCATCTTTGCATAAGCTGCTCCCAACTTTCTGCAGCAATTTCAAATTTAGGAGCTAGTTTTCTTCACATTAGTGGAAATCTGCTTTTTTTTTTTCCCCCTCTCTTGCACATTGGGGTTTCTTCCAAGTTTTTGACAGCTCTTTCTGAAAGGATTTCAAACAGCATTTCTCCGTCCTGGTTCTATAGGAAGAGTGGGAGTAGAACAGATCTCTGTGTGGGTTTAAATATGCTCTCTAAATACTAAGGCACTCTTATTTTGCAAAAAAGAAAAAAGAAAAAAAATGCTGAAAATGATGAGAAATTAGAGAAATGTACGTTGTGTATACTAGTATTGGAAGCTGCTATACAGTGGAGGACTTTTGGGCATAAAAGTTTAAGAAATAAATATTCACTGGATATTAAAAATATCCATGCAGTGGAGAACTTGCGGACTTGTAGTTTGACCTACATCTGTCTACTACTTCTGTCCGCTGTAGTGTAACTTTCGACAAGTCAGACCACTGTTTTGGTGCGTGAAAAGATGCATGTAAAATAACATTTAAGCAGTTCAGCCTTCTCCCTGTTGCTTATCACTATCTGGCCATCTTCTCCAATCAGCACGTCAAACCATTTCCTCGACTTCCTTCTTGTTTTGCACATGCCAATTTGTTTCCAGCTCAAAATGCAAGTGTGGGTGGAAAAAATCAGTTCTTAGATGAGTGGAATCAATTAAATCAACTTGATTTAATGGTTTCTACTCATGGAGGTAGTGACAGATTTTATTTTCCTGGGCTCCAAGATCACCGCAGATGGGGACTGCAGCCAAGACATTAAAAGACTCTTGCTCCTGGGGAGGAAAGCTATGGCAAATCTAGACAGCATTCTAAAAAGCAGAGAGATCATCCTGCCGACAAAAGTGCGTATAGTCAAGGCTATGGTTTTCCCAGTTGCAATGTATAGCCATACATTGGATGAAAATTGGACCATAAGAAAGGCTGAGCACCAAAGAATTGAGGCCTTTGAACTCTGGTGCTGGAGAAGACTTCTGCAAGTCCCTTGGACTGCAAGGTGATCCAGCTGGTCAGTCCTAGAGGAGATCAACCCTGACTGCCCTTTAGAAGGCCAGATCCTGAAGATGAAACTCAAATATTTTGGCCACCTAATGAGAAGGAAGGACTCCCTGGAGAAGAGCCTAATGCTGGGAACGATTGAGGGCAAAAAAAGAAAGGGAAGGCAGAGAACGAGGTGGCTGGATGGAGCCACTAAAGCAGTCGGTGTGAGCTTAAATGGACTCCAGAGGATGGTAGAGGACAGGAAGGCCTGGAGGAACATTGTCCATGGGGTTGTGATGGGTCGGACACGACTTCACAACGAACAAACCTCATGCAAGAACTTTTTTCTTGGTTTTATCGGTATACAAGTAGTTCTTGATTTACTACAATTGAACCCAGATATTTTTTTTTCACTTATCCTTTATGTTTCTCAGTTTATGGAGACCCCTTTGAGCAACCAATTCCTTATGCTTGAGAGAAATTGCTCCTCAACAGTCAAAATTCACTTCAGCATATTATATTCTTTCTCCACTTGGATCTGAATTGCTCCGCTTTCTGTTCCAGGAAAACAGTTCAAATGTACGGTGTGTGATTATACCGCGGCCCAAAAGCCACAGCTTCTGAGGCACATGGAGCAACACGCTTCGTTCAAGGTAAGAAGCCTGCCACCGCTCTTGTTTTATAAAGGTGATTCATTGACTGCTGCTAATGCCTGACAGGCCAAGGTTTCAGGATTACAATTTAACAGCCTCTAAATCAATTCTGGAACTGAAGCAGAACGGTTTTAACTTTTAGCCAATCGGGTGGAATGAGGTAGGAATTTACATTCTTTCATTTTGATACAGGGAGTCCTCCACTTACGACTGTAATGGACCTGCCCGTTATGATTTATGATTGTAAAGTGGGTCACCACGTGACCGGGCCTGTTTTTATTACCTTTTTTGTGGTGGTTGTTAAGTGAACAGGAATGGTCATAAAGCAAACCCATGGTTTGCTATAGGCCCGTGATGGTGAACCTATGGCACGCGTGTCCGAGGTGGCAGGCAGAGCCATCTTTCCGGGCACACGAGCTGTCACCCAGTTCACCTACAGCTGCGCATGCACGCGTGCCCCAGTTGGTGTTTGGGCCTCCAGTGCGCATGTGCGCAATTCAGGGGACCCAGCTGGTCTTCGGAACTCTCCTGTGTATGTGTGTGCGTTTGTGCATGCATGTAAGAGTACTTGCATGCAATGCATGCATGCGTAGACAGCATTCACACAGGTGCATTGCGCATGCAAAACCCACACGCATGCGAAGATGGTACAATTGCACATGCAGCGCACAGGGGGGACCACGCAAAACCTGCGCACATGCCATGATGGCGCGATTGCACGCACAGTCCACGGAGCCACATGAAAGCCATGCACATGCACAAATGGTGTGGTCGTGCGCACTAGGGGGCGCGTGAAGTCATGCGCATGCGCAGATAGCTCTGTAACACGCACAGCACATGAGGCAGAGTCACGCGCATGTGCAGATGGTGTGATTGCGCATGCAGCGCAGAGGGGGAGCCACGCGAAACCTGCAAGCATGCACAGATGGTATGATTGTGCGTGCAGCGTATGGGGGGAGTGCAGTAGTGAAATCTAAAATTTGTTACTACCGGTTCTGTGGGTGTGGCTCGGTGGTGGTGAGGTAATGTGACTAGGTGGGTCACATTACTTTTAAAACCATTTTTTCTACAACCTCTTCAACGAAGAGGTTGAGTTGCCTGATCGGAAGAGGCTTTTTAAAAAACTTAGCTTGGATCATCAGAGGCATTTAAAAGAAAAAAAGGGTTTTTTTTCTTTTAAAAGCCTTTGACAATCCCAGCTGAGCCGCCTGATCATCAGAGGCTTTTTTTTTTACTTTTAAAAGCATTTTTTTCAGCCGAAGAGGGTTTTTTTTTTGTTTTTTTTTAAATTTGATTTATATGCCGCCCTTCTCCGAAGACTCAGGGCGGCTTACAATGTGCTCAGCAATAGCCTTCATCCTTTTGTATATTTATACAAAGTCAGCTTATTGCCCCCACAAACTGGGTCCTCATTTCACCTACCTTAGAAAGGATGGAAGGCTGAGTCAACCTTGAGCCTTGGCGAGATTCGAACCCTGCAGTAATTGCAGGCAGCTGGTCTTAATAACCAGCTTAATAACAGGGTGCCTTAAACCCCTGTACTACCAAGGCTCTTTGGTTGTAGAAAAAATGCTTTTAAAAATAAAAAAAAGCCTCTGGTGATTGTGCGGTTCAGCTGGGCATGGTGTGGGGGCAGGGATTTTTGCTCCGAACCACCCGCCTCCATCACTACCAGATCGGGCGATCCGGTCCGAACCGGGAGCATTTCACCCCTGGGGGAGTGGCATGTTATCGCGGATAGCACGCACGTGTGCAAAGTGTGTACCTATTCGGCACTCGGTGAATAAAAGGTTCACCACCACTGCTATAGGCTATTTTTACCAAAAACCGGAAGCAAATTTCAGTTTTCAGCAAAAAGTCGTAAAATGTTGTCATGTGGCCACAAATGTCCGTAAATGCAGGCTGGATGCCGAATACTCGACATGAGGGCATGTGACCATGGGGAAACGATTTTCAGAACCGGTTGTAAATCCCCCTGAGGGGAAGCCGTTGCATCCTTGAACAGTTGCCAACCAACAGGTCGTAAGTCGAGAATTACTTGTACAGTGTTCACATGATGTTCTATATTTTCAAAAAAGGTAAAATTGGATCCAGGCTACGATATTGGAGAGTCTGAGATACTTTGAGAATTTCAAAATCCAAGAAATGTCTTTAGTAAGCAAGAGAATTTGCAGGATGGCATTAGGAAACTCACACCAACTGTGATCCTCTTTCTGCTTACTGTGGTATTGTTGTTAGCCAGATGGAATTAAGAGTTTTTTTAAATTTCTTATATTTAACATTCTTTCTCCAAAAGATCAGTTCGCATCTACCTTCCAACTGGGAATGTTAGAAACTGAGTTGCTTGCTCATTTTGCTAGGAGCAAATCTGAGGATGTTGGAGAGGAAAAACATAGCAAAAACTACTTTTGCGAAGGCAACAGATAGTAACAAGGCAGTTTATTTAATTTGGTAAATAGATCAAGGAATGTCTGTCTCACAAGCTGATCTGTGAAGCTTCAAAGTGCCTTTACAAAGCTATACAAGATGAAATTAAACTGCATCAAAGAAATGCATACATGTACGCATATTTAAAAATCTATCAGAAGCATCTCTAAATCACACTCGGAATCGCAGTTATATTCCTGGTGAAATAAATAAGCTATTAAATTGGGGCGGCCGTTTAATTTAATTTATTTTTAATTATTTTAACTTTTATATTGTATGTTATTTTAATTCTTGGCTGTTCACTGCCCTGAGTACCTTCGGGGAGAAGGGCGGGATATAAATTTAATAAATAAATAAATAAATAAATAATAGTAGAGTGTGGAGTGGCTACTACTATCAAAAGGATCCTTGTTTGCAGTCGTCACTTAAATTTTTCAGCAAAGGAAAAGGTAGGGCCTCGGTTGCTAATTTCAGCATCAGAGCAAGACTTCATTTATAATCTATTACTTATTACTTATTTATTTTAAATGTTGATATGCTCTCCTTCAAACCCAAAGTTTCCCGGCGTAGGTCGCGCCGTGTTAATGGCGCCAAGTACAATTATGAAAAATTAAATAAAACATTAAAACACAATAATTAAAGTACATAACCATAAAAGGATTATAGCAACCGCCAGCATAGTTAATACGTTTCTAAGCAGCAAATATGTTTAATGGATTAAACATTAATAGATTTAAACATTAATTGATTAAAAGGCCTGAGAGAATGAAAACATCTTTACTGTCTCTTCAGCATTATGGAAAGTTTAATTACTACAAAGAATACCCCAGGATCAGGGTCTGCCACTGAATAATCTTGTGGCCATTCAGCAGAGCAGAATGCTATTCCGCAATATATAATGACTCACTTTATGACCATCAAGACTTAAAACCATAATGGGCAGGCTCCATTAGGGTTTTAAGTTGGGGACTACCTATACGTTAATAACCACTCTGATAAAAATGTTATTTTCATCCCAAAGCTTTTCTACATCAGTGCTCTTACCTAAATTGTTTTCAATTATGAATTCTGTCATCTATATCCCATTGCAATTCTATGGCTCCATATTATGGTGATTTTATTATGGTTTTATTTTAATTTAATGTATTATCTCTTATATTGTCCACATCTCTTATATAAAAAGTAATATTCCTTTTAGGTGGAAACTAAAAAAATGTTGTTACAGGAAGACGAAGTCTCATTCGTCATCTTCAGGCTGGTGTTCTCAGCTTCGTGCTTCTAGGAGCAATGTGTGTGATCGCAGCTGTTTCTTCCTTTTAACTGCCAGTGGGGGTGTGAACTGATTGGGTGGGAGCTTGGCTGTGTTCTGATTGGGTGGAGGTGTGTTTTGATTGGTTGGGGGTTTGGCTGTGCTCTGATTGGATGGGGGGGTTGGCTGTGCTCTGATTGGATGGGTGTGTGTTCTGTTTAAGTGGGGGCTTGGTTGTGCTCGGGTTAGTCTGAGTAGCAGGGGGATTTGAGCTGGTGAGCTGTGTTGCTGTTGTTTGGCTTGGTGTTCGTGGCCGTGCCATCTCTTCAGACTGACACCCAACATGACTGATGCTTTCAAAGTGTGGTATTGGAGAAGACTCTTGGGAGTCCCTTGGACTGTAAGAAGATCACTTGGTAGTACAGTGGTTTAAAGCACCCTGTTATTAACACAGCTGCCTGCAATTACAGCAGGTTCGAATCTTACCAGGCTCAAGGTTGACTCAGCCTTCCATCCTTTCTAAGGTAGGTTAAATGAGGACCCAGTTTGTGGGGGCAATAAGCTGACTTTGTATAAATATACAAAAGTATGAAGGCTATTGCTTAACGCATTGTAAGCTGCCCTGAGTCTCCGGAGAAGGGCGGCATATAAATCAAATTTAAAAAAAAAAAAATCAACCCTGACTGTTCTTTGGAAGGACAGAGACTAAAGCTGAAGCTCAAATACTTTGGCCACCAAATGAGAACTCACTGGAAAAGACCCAGATTGCTGGGAAAGACTGAAGGCAAAAGGAGAAGAGGACAGCAGAGGATGAGATGATTAAATAGTGTCATCAATGCAATGACCATGAATTTGGCCAAACCCTGGGAGGCAGTGAAGGAAAAGGGGGACTGGTGTGCTATGGTCCATAGGGTTGTGAAGAGTCAGACATAATTTAGCAACTGAACAACAATAATTCAGAAGTGCCACATCTCCAAGTGGGAACCACTGTATGTTGTAGGACATCTTGAGAACAGATAAACCTGTGAAGTTGGGTTACATTGACTCTTTGTATAATGGAACTGGGCTGTAATGTTGGCATGGAATCTCTGGAACAATCTGAGTAGTGTCATCAAAGAAAACTACTAATTTCAAGTTGTATCTCAGTTCTCTACTAGCCTGAAGTTCTAATGCTAAAACCTTTGGAGAGCACCATTATAGACATGTCTGTAACTATCATTTCTTATAGATGAATTTCTGGAAGCTTTGTTTCATGGTGGATGGATGATTGTGGTCTATGCCAGGGGTCACCAACCTTTTGGACCTCAGGGACCACTGAATTCATAATTTTAAATCCCGCGGACCACTAATATGATTTTTTTTAAAAAAAGATAAATAATACTTAGTGAAATATAAAAAATGCAAATAATTTTTCTGGGGACCACCAAAATTTTCTCACGGACCACCAGTGGTCCATACCACACAGTCTCGTCATAAGCCTTGGATATAGGTCTACAAACTCATCTGCTTTTTGAACCAATGTGTTTTTTTCTGTCTAGGATTCCTGCTACGCTTCATTCCTTTCTAAGGTGACCTTTGTCCCTGTGATTTATGATTTAACATCTGTAACCAATTAAGGTTATCTACATGGGGCAGATACTGGAGAGAGTGTCATAATCTTAGCTACACGGTGATTAAACTTTGGTCAGAGGTAAACGAGGAAGGCCAGAGTATCCTGTGCTCGGCCACTGACTTCCATAATTCAACGTGGCAATTTTGTTATGCCAAAGACCTGATTTTTTAGGCTACCTCCTTCCATATGAACCTGTCTCTTATTTATGATAATGATCAGAGCCTGCTATTAGATTGATGAGATAGGCTCTTTTCAAGATCTAAGTGGAAAAACTCCTTGCTGGAAAAGGTGTTTTGAATTTCTTTTTACTTGTTTTAGATCGGGGTCCCCAAACTTGGCAGCTTTAAGACTTGTTCGATTCTGTTCAGTTCTAGGAGTTGAAGTCCACAAATCTTAAAGCTGCCAAGTTTGGGGACCTCTGCTTTAAATAAACTAGGCAAACATGTATATCCTACCCAACATGAAATGATGTGTGATGCTTCATGTCTTTCCATTTTGATGGTAATCTGTGCTCAGATTTTATTGGATGGTACAGTTATTTGCTGATAAATGTCTGTATTTTATGGTGATTTATTTTTTCCCCCCCAAAAATAAAAATTATAGAGGATGTTCTTTAATTTATGGGCCAGTCATTCTTTTTCAGATCGACTTATCTACAGAGATGGGGGTAAAATGCTCTGGGAGAAAAGCAGGAAGTGAATGATACTAATAATAATAACAACAGCAATAACAGTCCGTATTCAGTCGCTAATTTGTTATTACGACACTCATCTTCACATATTGAATAAGCATAAATTGGTCCAGGCTTTCTAAGTATAAATCTTGGATGCCGACTGCATTAAATACTCGGCATACATTAACTGAAAATGGAAAACATGTGAGCTTTCTTATTTATTGGTCTTTTTGGGGGGCTTTGTGAAAGTGCAGTTCTGCAGCTTAAGACTTCCCTGAACAAATGCCATTTTTTTTCATGAGCAATTTCTGCATCTGGTGCATTACTGCTCACATTAGTCTCATTTTAGAAGTCATTTTTGAACGGGGTTCAACACGCTGCTTTCCTGTCTCTTTGCATTTGGAGGTATGCCACTAAATTAGCACAGAGCATTAATTTTATTGCCGAGTAATTTATTTAGTCAATAAAAAAGGTTGCAGTTGTTTTTGTAAATTTATTTGCTCTGGCAATCTATCCCTTTATGAAAGAGAGCAGAATTTAGCCATCATGGCAAATAAATAGTTCACTGAATGTTTGGTGCCGATAGTTTTCCATCATGTTGTAAAACTTTGCAGGGCATAAAAAGGTAATAAAATCTAAGAGGTGTTGCCGTTATATGTTTTGTTTTCATAATGGGATAAGTTTCTTGCTCACATGCGCGTAGCAAGACAGATCTAAATCTGATTATGGTAACCTAACAATAAGATGTGCAGCATCTGAAGCCAGATATAATTAATTCATTTCCTTTTATAATTGTAGCCTTTCCGTTGTGCACACTGCCATTATTCCTGCAACATATCTGGTTCCCTCAAAAGACATTATAACAGGAAACATCCCAGTGAAGAATACGTTAATGCAGGCTCTGGCGAATTTGCAGCTGAAGCCCTTCTCCAACAAGGTAACCTGTCTGTTTTGGAAACATAGAGATTTTCCTTTCTGTTAACCTATAGTTATTTTTCTCACAGAGAGAATATTTTGCCTCATTGATGAATGATGGCTTTCCTTCTCCATGGAATGACTTTGAGCATCATCTCCAAGAAAGAAAAATGATTTAAGTTGAAATGGATAAATCACATAAATGAGAAGTCTAATATGTTGTTCTTCTTCACTGGAGAAAAAATAATCCAAGGGTATTTCTGTGTGTCATCTGAAGCATCTGAAAGGAATAACATTCTAATTGGCCCTATATGGGTTGGGTTGAGTTGAGTTGAGTTAGTTGAGTTGGGTTGGGTTGGGTTGGGTTGGGTTGAGTTAGTTGGGTTGGGTTGGGTTGGGTCAAGTTGAGTTAAGTTGAGTTGGGTTGGTTAAGTTGAGTTGGGTTGGGTGAGTTGGCTAGGTTGGGTTGGGTTGGGTTTGTCTGGAATCTCCAAACCTGGACATGGAAATCAGTTTCCATCAAGCTTTGGCCTGCAAATTTCACCAGCTTTGATTTCTATTTATTTTTTCTTTATTTAAGAAAATATATATAGTCAGCCACTCAATCTCGGTGGGCATCTTAAAAAAAAACAGTTGAAACTATAACCCCCCCCACACACACACACACCCCTTGTGACAACAATCCATCAGATTTGATAAATCTTTTGGGGAGTTGTGCAAAGCTTTGGAGAGACATTTTGCTTCAATTGTCCCTTTAACAAAGCACTATCTATCTGTTCAAGATGAAGTGGTACTTGGCCTTTCACCACTTCAACAGAGTCAAAAATCCTGTTAAAGCAACTTCTTCCCTGGTCTTCAACTGTCTACTTCAAGGAGCAGAGGTCATTTCTATCAAAGTGAAGTGCCCTGCCTAAAATGCATCTGATTGGGTAAGCCTGACATAGGATTCGTTACAAGAATTACTGACAAGGGTCCTTATGGATGTGACCTGGAATTAGAATCAGGGGTGAAATGCTCCCGGTTCGGACCGGATCGCCTGATCCAGTAGCGATGGTGATGGGTGGTTCGGAGAACCGGTAGCAAAAATCCCTGCCTCCCCCCCACCATGCCCAGCTGAGCCGCACGATCATTAGAGGCTTTTTCTTTTTTTTACTTTTAAAGGCATTTTTTCTACAACCTCTTCCGATGAAAAAATGCTTTTAAAAGTAAAAAAAAAAGCCTCTGATGATCGCGCGGCTCAGCTGCGATCATCAGAGGCTTTTCAAAGCATTTTTTTCTGCAACCTCTTGGCTGAAGAAGTGGTAAAAAAATGCTTTGAAAAGTCTCTGACGATCCCAGCTGAGTTGCCTGATCGCCAGAGGCTTTTCAAAGCATTAGAAAAAATGCTTTGAAAAGTTTTCTTTTAAAAAAAGTTGGCCACGCCCACCCAGTCATATTACCCCACCACCACCAAGCCACGCCCACAGAACTGGTAGTAACAAATTTTACATTTCACCCCCGATTAGAATCCTGGTTAGTTGTGCTCTTTTTGTGAAGCTCCTTGGGGCATAATTCATTTCAAATTTCATTCCAAAACAGATTTATTTCCTAGAGATGTAAAATTAGCTGAACCTTCTTCCAAAGAGTAAATTGAGCCCCAGAAGGTTGGCTAGACAGATGGCAGATTAAAAAGAAATGCTTCTTCTTCTTCTTTTTTTTTTTTTCTTTTTTTGGACATCAAAATAAATCTTTTTTTTAAAGATTTGGAGAACAGTAAAGTATTCAAATGTAATATCTCAGGAGATTGTCTTTCATCCCTTAGCAGACGCTGTGCTGTTGTTTTGGCAATCTGGCCGTACAATCAAATATCTTGCAGGGCATGAAACGGGATTTAAAAGATTCAGGACATCACAAAACGATGTAACGTTCCTGCCAGTGCGGAAATAAAAGGTCCCCAATTTAGATTGTGGCGTCTTTTAAAAACGCTGGGCCGGTTGAGTGAGATGACTTTTCTTATTTTATTTCCGATTGGTTCCCACGTTATCTTTCAACGTTGAATGACGTTATGTAAAAACTCTCTTTCCCCATTTCAAAGCAGCTTGGGAGGATTTAAAATCTTCCCCGTTTTGTTACACTAGAATAGATGCCAGCATAATGCAAGGCTGCTCTTGAGTAATGAATAAAACATAACTTTCCCAAGCATGACATTTTAAAGCATTGCCAAATTATTCTTTTTCTTTACTAGGGTTTCCCCCCCCCGCTCCCCACAGAATTTATGTCTATAAGAAGCGTGAATCTATGTTTCAGCAGCATGGAAATGGTGGCACGAGACAAATGCGTTAAGGAATTTGCATTGAGTTTTCCTTCCAGTGTCAAGGAAATTTGAGCAAGACAGACTAGCATAAAATGTATGGGAGAGGCTATTTAGAGTCCCGACCGTGGCTGAGAATAACAAGAGTTTGTGATGACTTAATAGATGGATATGTTTATCACAGTATGTGCTAGGAAAGGAAGTTGCTCAGGCATATGAAGTACATACAGGTAGTCCTCAACTTATAACCATTCGTTTAGTGAGCGTTCGAAGTTACAATGGCACTGAAAAAGGGACATATGACCATTTTTCACTCTTACGATGTTGCACCATCCCTGTAGTCACATGATCAAAATTCAGATGCTTGGACAACTGAATTTTTCATGTTTGCAGTGTCCCGGGGTCATGTGATCCCTTTTTGTGACGGTCTGACAAGCAAAATTTAACTTGACGACTGCAATGACTTAACAGCTGTGGCTGGAAAGGTCCCCCCAGGGGTCCCCAAAACACCCTTTGAGAGCTGCTGGTCTAGAGAGAGATAAATCAATGCTGTCCATGGAGATTCTCAGTCATTCAGGTCATGGTTGTCCCAAAGGTTTTTTTTTTTTTTTTTTTCAAAAGGCAACTGGACTTCCTTGGTTGTTGCTTGAAGGCGTTTCGCTTCTCATCCCAGAAGCTTCTCCAGTTCAGTTTGCACCTTTGGGATAATTTGGGATATTGCTGAGCACATTGTAAGCCGCCCTGAGTCTTCGGAGAAGGGCGGCATATAAATCAAATAAAAAAAAAAATCAGTGTTCCTTGATTATCAATATTTACATTTTGAGAGGAGGGAAGGAATGTATATTTTTCTGTATATTTCTTATGTCATATGTCAATGGTGGTTTACTGGTAAGCGACCGTTGTTTTTAGAGGCTGGTTTTTAAATGAAAAAGGAACACATTTTGATAGTACAGCTATGATAAACTGAGGCAGGGCGTGCCAGTCTCTATAAAAAATCTCCCAACCTGCTTTTACCTTCCCCTAAAAAAACCCACTATAGTAGTATAAGGGATGCGATGGCTCAGTGGCTATGACGTTGAGCTTGTCGATCAAAAGGTCGGCAGTTCAGCGGTTCGAATCCCTTGTGCTGCATAACGGGGTGAGTTCCCGTTACTTGTCCCAGCTTCTGCCAACCTAGCAGTTCGAAAGCACGTAAAAATGCAAATAGAAAAATAGGGACCACCTTTGGTGGGAAGGTAACAGTGTTCCGTGTGCCTTTGGTGTTTAGTCATGCCAGCCACATGACCAAGGAGATGTCTTCAGACAGCGCTGGCTCTTCGGCTTTGAAACGGAGATGAGCACCGCCCCCTAGAGTTGGGAGCGACTAGCACATATGTGCTAGGGGAACCTTTACCTTTACCTTTATAGTAGTTGTTAAGGATATTCTTGGCTCATAACTGATGTTGTGAGTTATTGAGCAGAGTACCCTTTGAGTAAACGCATGAAAAGCGATTGGGAGTGGTTGTGAACAATCACAGTCATCGTACAAACACACTGAGTTGTTGTAGTCTTTTACTTTTAGAAAAAAAATAAAGCAAAGTCTAAAAACAATCCAAGTCATACACAGATAAGACGAAAGTTAAAAGATCAATCCAGGGATATTTCAAGTACAAAGTCTTCTTACCAGTTGTAGTCATATACAATAAAACAGTTCTTGAGTTTCAAAACAGGAACAAGTTCAATATCAAAACATTCAATAAATAGTAGAAAGCAACATGTAGCTATGATCAAACAGTAATCATGCAGAGAGATCAGATAGAGAGTTACAGCAAATAAGCAGATAAAATGGTGTAGTATCCACACAAGCCATGATCCTGACTTCCCTTAAGTACATTGGCTACAGAGCTTAGCCAATCAGGATACAGGATGATGCAATACAGTTTTAAAGCAATATAATACCTTTCTGACTGCAAACATACATTGTTGGTGTATATATTGCCTGACCAACTAGTTAGACAAATAACCATTTCCTAACAGTAGTATAATATTGTTTGCAAATGTATAGCTAGGTTTGTATATAGAAACGCAAACCGCTTTAAGTGTGAACCGCTCCGTGTAGCAAACTAATAAACTCTCTTGGGTTTCCAGCTACAGATAAAGGCATATTCCCATCTATCGCAAAAGGCATAAATATTTCATTGTTTCCAGCAAGTGTCTTTGTGGCCACCTTCGCGTTCTCCACTTCCCAGATTTGAGCTGCCAAGGAGTTTGTAAAACAAAAGTTGTCTTTCCTGGAACTCTCCCTGCATTAATCCTCGGAATATATTTTCTAGTCCATCCTGCAAAAATATAAATGAAATCATTTCCAAAGGACCATTTTTTTTTTTTTTAAGGCTCTGGGGTGGCAGAAAATTGGGCTGCCTCGGAGTTTCAGAAATGAGAAATCCTTCCATTTTATGTGCACTCCGGTGTCAGACGCAGATAAGGTATGCCATTCAATGACCTTTTGCCTCTATATTGCCACAGCAGTTAATGAATTGGAGAGAAATTAATTTTCTTTAGCTGTGATGTCAATTAACCGCCCTGCCGAATATGCCACTGGCTCAATGGCACTCTTTCACTTGTTGTTCCTTAATTAAAGTCAGAGTGACAGAGGTGGCTCTTTTAATTAACTGACTGTTATTGTTGCAGTAAGTTTAATTTAAAAGAAAGACGGGAAAGTCTCCATTCTAATTGAGTTTTTATTAAGAGGGGAATATGGAATGAATATTTCAATTCAGGTTGTTGTAACTGGTAATGCCTTTTTTTCTGTATCGAGAGTCATGCGCTGTGGCAGATAAAGGCAAGATAAAGGCATTTAACTTAAAATAAAAGCACGGAAGTGCCTCGTCTAACAGGTTTAAAGATAACAGAGTAGTGCTGGAGGTCTTAGAAAAACCCTTCAAGAACAATAAATGTCAACAAAGAACCTAATTTTTTAATTTAATTTTTCCTAAATGAATTAGCAAGAGCACAGGTAGACCTTGGGGTACAACCACAATTGAGCCCAACATTTTTGTTGCTAAGCGAGACGTTTGCTAAGTGAGTTTGGCTCCAATTTATGACCTTTCTTGCCACATTTGTCAAGTTCAGTTGTTGTTGTGGCCTGTACGCGGCCTGTGCAGCTAGTAGCTGATTCCGACAGCGAGGAGGCTGGTGTGGTGGTGCGCCAGCAGCCTGTGCAGCTGGCACTCGAGTCAGACAATGAGGAGGCTGGAGTGGTGCCAGAGGCGGGGATTCAGCCAGGGCCTTCAGAACCTCCAGAAGCTTAAGTGAAGAGGATGAAGAGGAGGAGCCTCTTCTCAATGCATGGGCGTGCAGAGCTGCCAAAAGGCAGGAGTGGCTCCTCAGGGGGAGGTCTCCTCGAGAGTAAGGCTTGGGGCTAATTGGCCACTCCCTTAGCCTATTTAAGGAGGAACACCGACTGAAGCAATTTGCAGGGAACAACTTAGTTCACATACCTTCGTGTCTTGTCTTGCTTATCTTATCCGCTTTCTGCAAATTGCTTCTGGGCATTTTGCCAACCATTATAAGTTTTCAGTTATTATTCTTTGAATTCTTGGCAGCTGTTAACGCAGTTAATTAACAGCCGTTGTTGAAAAAACTGGTTTATTCAGTAAACTAAGGTTTGAACGGACTTTGTGTGTGCTGCGTTCTTTGGGGTCCGTAGCTGGGGCAGAACAGTTGTTCAGTGAGTAACACGGTTGTTAAGTGAACCTGATTCCTCCCCGTTGATTTTGCTTGCCAGAAGGTGTTCAGATGACCCCCAAGACACTGCAACCGTCATGAATATGAGCCAGTTGCCAGGCATCTGGATTTTGATCTTGTGACTGTGGGGGATGCTGTAACGGTCATAAATGTGAAAAAATGATCATAAGTTGGTTTTTTTTCCAGTGCTATGGTAACTTCAAACAGTTTGTCACTAAATGAACTATTGTAAATCGAGGACTATCTGTAATACTCAAATGACAAAAAAAGTAATCACAAGTTTCTCCACTAGCAGAATGGTATGACTCCCCTACTTGGGAGTAATCACACACCCAGACACACACAGAGTTTAAAAACCATTGTGTTAGAGACTTTTCAAAAGAGATGTAGGTGATATGTATTCCATTAATATACAGATAGTCCTCAATCAATAATTGCCCTGTTTGATGCCTTCAAGACTACAACTATGCTGAAAATGTTAACTTTACAACCAGTCCTCGCACTTACAACCCTCATAGCCACCACCCCCACAGTCATGTGATCGAGATTCAGGCATTTTACAACTGGGGGATCTTTACGGTCTTTCCCGCTTCCTATAGTCACGTGATCACCATTTCACAGCTGGCTTGCCAACGAGCAAAGTCGATGGAGAAGCCAATGTTAAGTCACAAGTCACAGTTGTGTGGTGTCTCGCTTAACAGCCATGGCTGACTCACATAACGACCACAGCGGGAGTGAGGTCATAAGTCTTACTTCAGTTGTGTGATGCTTTGTTTAATGACTGCATGGTTTAGTGACCAAGCAGCCAGTCCTATTTTGGGTTGTTAAGTGAGGACTACCTTTACCATATTTTTCGGAGTATAAGACACACTTTTCCCCCCTAAAAGTGGGTGAAAATTTGGGTGCATCTTATACCCCGAATGTAGCCAAAAACATGAGGCATGGAGGCGGCGATGGTCTGTGACAATCCCTACAGCATGGAACAGCTGATTGGAGGTATTCCGGGAGGCCAATCCACCCGCCAATCAGCTGCTCATGCTGAATCAGGCTGCAATAATGTGCTGAAGCTCACCTGGCTGTTCGCAATTTGCTGCATCCAGAAAGCACCCACAAGTAACTGATTCAGCTAGATTCAATAACTTCTCTTTATATATAATATAACACATGAAATATACAATACCAAAGTTTCCAACATGGTAGTAAATACAAGCAACAGACAAGCAGAGGAGAGGAGTTTCAGTTTCAGTTTTGAGCAGCAGACTAGTTTAGAGCTCAGCAGACTCAGAGCTGCAGAGCTAAGTCACTCCCAGGTTCCAAACTGTCTCCTTGTTGCTCACACAGCAAATACTGTTTCAGTTTCCAAACAGCCCTCAACTCTCACACAGGACACTAGCCAGATCAATACCGATGGATGCTGGTAGGCAGAGGCAGATTTTTTTTTTCTTATTTTCCTCCCCAAAACCTAAGGTGCGTCTTATACTTCAGAGCATATATGGTATATTTTTGGCATATTCATACAGGGAAGCAGTATTCATCTGGAATATAGCTACACAACCATCAATTTGCTACCATTTGCCAAAAACACCTCCATGAAATGGCACAAGGCTATATAATATGGGGAAAAGAAGAATATCAAACTTGTGAAAAGGTTAGGGGGTTAAGCCAGGTTAAAAACTAATAAAAATAAATAAACTTTATTTGTATCCTGGTACGTTTATAGTACATTTTTATTATTTAATATCTATGCACGGATTCTAATTTCTGATCAGGGTCTAAATATGCACTCTTTTTGTTGTTGTTTTTCTTCCCTCCCAGGTGGCATCAAGTGTCCAGTGTGCAACTTTGTGTACGGCACAAAATGGGAATTCAACAGGCACCTGAAAAACAAACACGGACTTAAAATAATGGAGCAGGATACGGAGGTAAATGCAAGCAGCCACAGCTGTTCTAAAATATTGCCTTTTCCCTGAAATGTTAAAGGGGAACCGAGGAAAAATTGGAGCAACAAACATTCTCCTATAAAACTTAAAAGTAATATCCTGCTTCTATGTGTTTTTATGTAGGCAGGGTTACCGAGCGCAAATGAATTGTTCAATGTCATTTATTTCTTTATAATGAAGCCTCATATGAGGCTGAAATTATACATAAGGAATTGGTGGCCATAGCAACAACGTGAGGCTAAATTCCATCACAACTCCCAACATCAGCCCAGGCATTTCTCTTTTCAAGCTGAAACCTGAATATATATATATATATTATGTTTATATTTATATATATATATTTGGCCATGTATTTTCTCATCTGAAGAAGGCAGACTTTGTTGGGACACTCAATTCAGGTTGATTTCTATACAGATAATGCAGATTTTTCCTTCCTTCCTTCCTTCCTTCCTTCCTTCCTTCCTTCCTTCCTTCCTCACTCACTCACTTACTTTTTTCTTTCCTTCCTTCCTTCTTTCTTTCCTTCTTTTTCTTTCTATCTTTCTCCTTCCTTCCTTCCTCACTTACTTACTTTTTTCTTTCTTTCCTTCTTTCTTTCCTTCTTTTTCTTTCTATCTTTCTCATTTTTCTTTCTTTTGTTCTTTCCTTACTTTCTTTCCTTAATTGTCTTTCTATCTTATTCCTTCCTTCCTTCCTTCCTTCCTTCCTTCCTTCCTTCCTTCCCTCCTTCCTTCCTTCCTTCCTTCCTTCCTTCCTTCCTTCCTTCCTTCCTTCCATCCATCTCTTCTTCCCTCATATCTTCAAGCAGTCACTAAGCAACCAGTTGTAAGTCAAGGACTACCTTTAAAAAATATTAAAAACAACAGAAACCTGGTGCCCAGTCAAACTTCTGATGTGCATTTATCTAATCTTCTCTAAGCGCTTAGGAGAGAAAACTGGGTCTTCAAAGTTTTAAAGAAGGCTAAAAGGGCGGAGATTGGAATGGAATGGAATGGAATGGAATGGAATGGAATGGAACAGAACACAACAGAACAGAACAGAGCAGAGAATAGAACGGAACAGAACAGAACAGAATAGAGAATAGAATGGAACAGAACAGAACAGAGAATGGAATGCAATAGAATAGAACAGAACAGAACAGACAATAGAACGGAATGGAACGGAACAGAACAGAATAGAGATTGGAATGGAATGGAATGGAATGGAACGGAACGGAACGGAACGGAACAGAATAGAATAGAGAATAGAACGGAACAGAACAGAACAGAACAGAATTTAGAGAATGGAATGGAATAGAATAGAATAGAATAGAATAGAATAGAATAGAATAGAATAGAAATAGAACAGAACAGAACAGAACAGAACAGAACAACAGAACTGAACTGAACTGAACTGAACTGAACTGAACTGAACTGAACTGAATTCTTTATTGGCCAAGTGTGATTGGACACACAAGGAGTTTGTTTTGGTGCATACACTCTCAGTGTACATAAAAGAAAAGATACATTCGTCAAAAATCATAAGGTACAATACTTAATGATAGTCATAGGGTACAAATAAGCAAACAAATCCTATTAGGAAACAGTCAATATAAATTGTAAGGATACCAGCAACAAGGTTACAGTCATACGACCATGTCATTAACTTAATGTCAGCTGGCTTCTGACAAGCACAGTCAATGGGAGAGAGCTGGATTCGCTTCACAACTGTGTGATTCACTTAACAGCTGTAGTGATTCGCTTAATAACCATCGCAAAATTCATAAAATCAGTCAGAACTCCCTTAGCGACTTACTTAGTGACAGAAATTCTGGTCCTAATTGTAAGTTGAGGACTACCTCTATAGTAAGATATTCAACTGGAGGCTTGTTTGCAAAACCACCGAATTTGGATTCTTAAAAAGGCCTTGGAAGTGTGTTAAAATTAATTAGTACAATAGTTAGGATGGCACAGTGGCTCAGTGGTTAAGATGTTGGGAAAGCCTTGGTACTACAGGGGTTTAAGGCACCCTGTTATTAAGCTTATTAAGACCAGCTGCCTGCAATTACTGCAGGGTTCGAATCTCGCCAAGGCTCAAGGTTGACTCAGCCTTCCATCCTTTCTAAGGTAGGTGAAATGAGGACCCAGTTTGTGGGGGCAATAAGCTGACTTTGTATAAATATACAAAAGGATGAAGGCTATTGCTGAGCACATTGTAAGCCGCCCTGAGTCTTTGGAGAAGGGCGGCATATAAATCAAATTAAAAAAAAAAAAAAAAAAAGCCGACAGCCCAGGTTCGAGACCCATGTGCCACAGGACAGGGTGAGCTCCCATCCTCACCTCAGCTCCTGCCAACCTAGCATTTTGAAAGGACGGAAAGGCGAGTAGATTAATAGATACCACTTTGATAGGGAGGTTAACAATGCCCTATGATGTCATGCTGGCCACATGACGGAAACATCTTCGGACAGTACTGGCTGGCTGGCTTGAAACGGAGACGAGCATCCTTTACCTTATTAAGTTATACAATGCCATCTTCTGATACATATTTATTTAGAAAGAAACCCCTTGCGTTTGACGGAGATTATTAATGCGGGTTATAAGACTGCAGTCTTATTTTTCTCCTTGAAAAAAATGATGGGAAAAAACTGTGAAGATAAATAGAAATCTTAATGACTCATGTTAAACTTTAAAAATTAGAACCTCAAAACTGTTGGTGTTTTCAGGAAGAGTCTGGATTGAATATTGCGATAAATTATAGTTTTCTTCTAATCAAAAGGATTACTTTCATGCCTATAATCCTACTGAATTTTTTTTATGCGCATATTCTTATGCACCCACGAGTAAAAATTAATGAGATCAGTAACGATCAGAGATAGGATTTATTTGATAAAGAGTCTCCCAGTTGTGCAACTGACTTTTATATGACCTTGACAAGTCATTTCCAGATTACTTTTCTATTAAAAAAAAATGTTCTTTCGTTGCTGAGTCTTTTCTTGCTTCCTACATCAAAAGATTCTAACTTGTTTCATTGTCAAGAGCCATTTGGTGATGCTGTGCTATTCAAAGAGACATACTTAAGCTTGAACTGTAGGTACGTATTTCGGCAGCTCTGTAATATACCGGTGCCTGTTAACTCTTATTTCTTCTCCAACTGCCTTCTGCTTTGCAGCAAACTACAGAAATTTCCGAAGAATCCTCCACGCAGTACCTTCATATCACCGAAGCTGGAGATCTGCAAGGGACTCAGGCAGCTGTTGCAGCTCTGCAGGACCTCAGATATACCTCAGAGAATGGTAACATGCTCTCATTAAGACCAAATCAATACTTTAAAAAAAAAAAAAGAGATGTTTAAATGATGTTTCAGCCAGTTCGGTCTAGTGATTAAGGCACCAGGTGAAAAAGCAGAAAATTCTGAGTTCTAGTCCCACTTTAGGCAAAAAAAAAAAAAAGCCAAATGGGTGACTTTGGGCCAATTACCAGGAGATAGTGAGTTCTAGTCCCGCTTTAGGTATGAAAGCTGGCTGGGTGACTTGGGGCCAATCACCTGGAGACAGTGAGTTCTAGTCCCGCTTTAGGCATGAAAGCTGGCTGGGTGACTTTGGGCCAATCACTTGGAGACAGTGAGTTCTAGTCCCGCCTTAGGCATGAAAGCTGGCTGGGTGACTTTGGGCCAATCACCTGGAGACAGTGAGTTCTAGTCCCGCTTTAGGCATGAAAGCTGGCTGGGTGACTTTGGGCCAATCACCTGGAGACAGTGAGTTCTAGTCCCGCCTTAGGCATGAAAGCTGGCTGGGTGACTTTGGGCCAATCACTTGGAGACAGTGAGTTCTAGTCCCGCCTTAGGCATGAAAGCTGGCTGGGTGACGTTGGGCCAATCACCTGGGGACAGTGAGTTCTAGTCCCGCCTTAGGCATGAAAGCTGGCTGGGTGACTTTGGGCCAGTCACCTGGAGACCGTGAGTTCTAGTCCCGCCTTAGGCATGAAAACTGATTGGGTGACTTTAAGTCAATCACTGGGAGATGGTGACTTTGGGCCAAGCTGCTAGGTACCACGTTTGAAAGATAAGAAGAAAAGACAGCATCAGCATTCCATTAATATTGCAGATGCAATAAATGAAAGGGGAAATTTACACAAGACCCTGAGGGAAAATTGGCATAAAATGCAATAAAGCCCTCAAGAAGGAGAAAATAAACATGAAAGGAAGGAGGTAAGACATTTGAGTCAGAAGACAAGAGGGATATTTTGGCATATAGGAAGTCCTTGACTTAACGACCACAATTGGAACCAGAATTTCCTTTGCAAAGCAAGGTGGTTCTTAAGTGAACCACGCCTGATTATACAACCATTTTTTGTCATGGTTGTTAAGCAAATCGCTGCAGTTCTTAAGTGAATCATGCGGTCGTTAAATAAATCCATATTCCCCCATATTTGCTTGTCAGAAGCTGGCTGGGAAGGTCGCAATGGCGATCACAGGTGTCCAGAACATTGCAACCCTCGTAAAGTCATGCTGATTGCCAAACACCCAAAATTTGATCCCTCGCGTGGCTGTGGGGGTGTGAGAATCATAAGCGTGAGGACCAGTGGGAAGTCCCTTTTTTCAATGCCTTTGTAACTCGCTAAACAAACAGTTGTAAATCAAGGATTACCTTTAGCGTGTAGGGTGGTTGTATAGGCAGTGCAGAAAGGGGAGCAAGGGGAATGGTGGTCCCAGTGCCACAAAGTTTGCATCCTCCTCACAGTGTTAATCTTAATCTGTTGTTCTGCTTCTCCCCCATAAGGAGGAAGGCTTGATGCCACGGCTGTCAACATCCTTCAGCAAATCATTGAGCTGGGATCAGAGCCCCATGACGGCGCTGCTCTAGCTTCTGTGGTTGCCATGGCCCCAGGAACCGTCACTGTGGTGAAGCAGGTAATCTTTCTTTTCATTCCCAGCTGAATGCTCTCTCTCTCTCTCTCTCTCTCTCTCTCTCTCCCTCTCCCTCTCCCTCTCCCTCTCCCTCTCCCTCTCCCTCTCCCTCTCCCCCTCCCCCCCTCTCCCCCCCCCCCTCTCTCTTTCTCTCCCTGTGATCCTGTGGAACATCCTTTGGTTATTTAGCAATAGCAATAGCACTTAGACTTACATACCGCTTCACAGTGCTTTCCAGCCCTCTCTAACCGGTTTACAGAGTCAGCCTATTGCCCCAAACAATCTGGATCCTCATTTTACCCACCTTGGAAGGATGGAAGGATGAATCAACCTTGAGCCTGGTGAGATTCGATCTGCCAAGCATGTCCGTGCAGCCACAGGTGGACAGTGATGAGAGTAATGAGTCTTGGCTGGATCCACGCCAGCATCGCAGAGATAAGCGCGCACAACAGAGATTAGTCTGAGTCACTGGACCACACCCCACAAGGTATAAAAGGGAGTGTGGTGGCCAGTCAAACCTTGTGACGAACAAAGCTGAAAGCTTCCACGCAATTCTGCATTGCCGGACTTTTGCTTTAAGACTTTGCTGGATTATCTTTGGACTTGATTTACTCTGTAATTATTGAGCTGTTTCCTTTGATGTACCAGAAGCGGGGAGAAGTTATATCTCCTCTTCGTAAGTAATAAACTCTTGGCAGGTAGCCACTAGGTTGTTGCCAAGTTCCGTTATCATAAGGAAAAGGATTTTGCCGGCTGGTTTGGTCTTTAACTCTTGGACGTCTGTTGGTGTGTGTGCGTGTGTGACGGGGAAAGAACACTGGTCTTCTGGTCTGCCACACGTGTGGGGTGCAAGAGCATGCGCCCGTGTCTTGCAGTTTAGGCGGGGCGTGGGTGCATGTGCGGGGGAAGCACACATGCGCGAGGCTTATGCACGCATGCGCCCACATCTTGCAGTTTGGACACACACACACGCACTTCGGGCACTAAGTGCCTAAAAGGTTCTCCATCACTGGTATAAGGTCTCCTGCTTTAGCAAGGGGTTGAACTAGAAAACCTCCAAGGTCCTTTCCTCTGTTGTTCTGTTCTGTTCTGTTCTGTTCTGTTCTGTTCTGTTCTGTTCTGTTCTGTTCTGTTCTGTTCTGTTCTGTTCTGTTCTGTTAAGGCAGTGTTTCTCAACCTTGGAAGCTTGAAGATGGGTGGACTTCAACTCCCAGAATCCCCCAGCCAGCGCTGCTGGCTGGGGGATTCTGGGAGTTGAAGTCCACCCATCTTCAAGCTTCCAAGGTTGAGAAACACTGTGTTAAGGTTTTGTTAAAGGCTAAGCTTTACTCCGTGTTGGACCTGTCTTGCCATCATTGCTGAAGCTTTGGGCAGCCTTTTCTTTTTTTTTCTTTCTTCAATGGGATTCCGACTTGGTCCTTTTCATTCCTTTCCATCCCTTAATCTCTGTTAGAGCTCTTTCTGCTTCCTTCTCCCTCCCTTCCCTGAAAGCGATGGTTGGTCTCCAGCTGCTGTGAGAATTGCCTCTCCTCCTCTCTCAGCTGCTGTCCTTACCAGCTCTCTCTGTGTGATTCCTCTCTTTGTGTAAATCTTTCTTCTTTCCTTCAATCAGTCTGGCTACACGAGCTTTGCGGAATTGTTCAAATGCAGCCACTAAGGAGGGTGAATAGCAATAGCACTTAGACCTACAGGGCGCTTCACAATGCTTTTACAGCCCTCTCTAAGCGGTTTAGTGTCAGCCTCCTGCCCCCAACAATCTGGGTCCTCGTTTTACCCACCGCGGAAGGATGGGAGGCTGAGACAACCTTGAGCCCGTGAGAATCGAACTGCTGGCAACCAACTGTCAGCAGACGTAGCCTGCAGTATTGCACTATAACCACTGCACCACCATGGATCTATGTGGTGCCTAAAGTGATAAATTATATGGTTGGTTTGTAAGTGGAGTAGCTAGGAGTTAAGCTTACACCAAGCTCACTGGCAAAAAAGCAGCTTATATGGACATTAAGCTAGACCAGGCCTTATATCTTAGCCACTATTTTTGGGTAAAGGTAAAAGTAAAGGTTCCCCTCGCATATATGTGCTAGTCGTTCCTGACTCTAGTGGGCGGTGCCTCATCTCCGTTTCAAAGCCGAAGAGCCAGCGCTGTCTGAAGACGTCTCCGTGGTCATGTGGCCAACATGACTAAATGCCAAAGGCGCACAGGATGCTGTTACCTTCCCACCAAAGGTGGTCCCTATTTTTCTACTTGCATTTTTGTACGTGCTTTTGAACTGCTAGGTTGGCAGAAGCTGGGACGAGTCACGGGAGCTCACTCCGTTACGCGGCACTAGGGATTCGAACCGCTGAACTGCCGACCTTTCGATCGACAAAACTCAGCCTCTTAGCCACTGAGCCACCGCGTCCCTAATTTTTAGGTAGAATGGGTTTAAGTCCGTTCTAGGGAAGAAATCTCTTTTGTGGGATCCTTGGTGCTGCCCTCTGAGCAAACCCCACTCCCTTTTAGTATTGATGTCGTTACCCAGTCAGGTAATGGGTACCCTTCCCCCCCCAGTTTCTCCACACCTCTCTTCTGTTTTGGTTGATTATCTTGCTGAGTTTCCTGGCTGTCCGCTGAAAGAAGTGATGAGTCAAGGAATTGAGTTGGCAAGCTGCGAGCACCAAATTACCTGACATGAAGGACTGGAACAATTCCTTAGCTAGCCTTGCAGAAACTCAATTAAGTTGAGCTAAATAAACGCCGAGGCCCTTCTCGGGGTTCTGAAGCCGCTTCGTAACATGGCCGAAAAAGAAAGGTGCCTTCTCTATAAGCTACCCCAGCCCATTGGAAGAGCCTCCCACTGAAATCCAGGCACTGGGCTAGGATGGGGAGAAATGGATGTGGAGCGATTATTTTTACAAATAGAAGAGACGAGACGAGACAAGGGAAGGGAAGGGAAGGGAAGGGAAGGGAAGGGAAGGGTAGAGAAGAGAAGAGAAGAGAAAGAAGAGAAGAGAAGAGAAGAGAAGAGAAGAGAAGAGAAGAGAATGATTTATTGGCCAAGTGTGATTGGACACACAAGGAATTTGTCTTGGTGCATATGCTCTCAGTGTACATAAAAGAAAAGATACGTTCATCAAGAATCATAAAGTACAACACTTAATGATAGTCATAAGGTACAAATAAGTAATCGAATCATACTAGGAAACAATCAATATAAATCGTAAGGATACAGCAACAAGTTACAGCCATACAGTCATAAGTGGGAGGAGATGGGTGATAGGAACGATGAGAAGATTAATAGTAATAGTAATGCAGACTTAGTAAATAGTTTGACAGTGTTGAGGGAATTATTTGTTTAGCAGAGTGATGGCGTTCAGGGAAAAAGCTGTCCTTGTGTCTAGTTGTTCTGGTGTGCAGTGCTCTATAGCGTCGTTTTGAGGGTAGGAGTTGAAACAATTTATGTCCAGGCGTCTGTGGAGGGATCTGTAAATATTTTCGCAGCTCATAGTGCATATGACAGGGAATAATAGAGTTGGAAGGGACCTTGGAGGATTTCTAGACTGACCCCATGCTCAAGCAGGAGACCTTATACCATTTCAGACAAATGGTTGTCCAGTCTCTTTATGAAAGCCTCCAGTGATGGAGCACCCACACTTTCTGAAAGCAAGCTATTCCATTGGTTGATTGCTTCTAATATCCAACACACCTTCCTCCTCCTATTTTCCTCACAATAACCCTGTGAGGCAGGCTGGGCTGAGAGAGAGAAAGTGACTGGCCCAAAGGCATCCAGGCAGCTTTCATGCCTAAAACGGAACTAGAACTCAGAGCCTCCTGGTGATTCTCCCAAGCCATCTAGCTGGCTTTTTCATGGCTGTGGCAGGACTTGAACTCGCGATCCTTGGCTTTGTAGCTTGCTTCTTGCATGGGTGACATGATTGTTTTATTGTGTTGTGGCTCCGTTACCGGAGCCTGTGTCATCGTTAGGAGACGACTCTGAGAGTGAAGGAGAGGAGTTGGCAAGGCCTCCCTCTCCAGGACCCTCCTCTCTGGCAATGCCTTTGGTGTCCGCCGAAGGACAAGAGATAGGGCCAGGGCCAAGCACGTCCATGCAGCCACAGATGGACAGTGATGACGGTAATGAGTCTTGGCTGGACCCACGCCAGCATCGCAGAGATAACCGCGCGCAACAGAAGAAAGGGCGTGCCCGAGATTAGGCTGAGTCACTGGACCACACCCCAAAGGATATAAAAGGGAGCGTGGTGGCCAGTCAAACCTTCTGACGAACAAAGCTGAAAGCTTCCACGCCATTCTGCATTGCCGGACTTTTGCTATAGACTGGATTATCTCTGGACTTGATTGTAATTATTGAGCTGCTTTCCTTTGATGTATCAGAAGTGGGGAGAAGTTATCTCTCCTCTTTGTAAATAATAAACTCTTGGCAGGCAGCCACTAGGTTGTTGCCAAGTTCCGTTATCATAAGGAAAAGGATTTTGCCGGCTGGTTTGGTCTTTAACTCCTGAACGTCTGTTGGTGTGTGTGCGTGGGGTTGTCGACAGAACATATTGTTGCGGTCTTGGTTTGGCTGTGCTTAATTTTTTTTTCAACTCCTGATCCAGAGGTGGGTTTCACTTACCTTTGCTACCGGTTCGCTCGGCATGCGCAGAGCGTATTTGATGACGGGCGGGTAGGCGGAGCCTCCCGCCACCACTGCTACCGGTTAGCCTGAACTGGGGTGAACCGATAGCAACCCACTACTGCCCTGATCGTCTGAATAAGAAGAAAAAGACATTTCTTTGAATAATAAACAAATACTGCCTAAATAAATTTAACAAGTAGCAAATAAATAACACCATCTGAGGAAAAATTCATGAGGAGAATGGATGCTTTTTCAATCTCTAATCATTCTAGATTCATCCTTCTTCAATGTATTATTTTAAAGGCAGTATATTTAAAGCAATGTTGTTGTTTGCTTTTGGGGAGAGGGGATATTGTGATTCTCTCAGCCCTGTGACTGTCACTTATT